TTAAGACCACACTAGCATCTCACCGGACCGAAGTAACATTTGCAGGTCGTTCAATGTGCTGCAGCTATGCAGCTATCTGAGTAGCAATGCTGTACCTTTTTCCCCAGAGAACGTTTGTTTGGTGGCTCGTTCAGCAAGCTTAACCTTTGCAGGACAAGACGTGTGTACATGTTTATCAGGAAAGCTACTGTGGGTTGTTGTTCAGAGGCTCTGGCTATGATAGAACGCTATGCTCAAAGGAAACATGTTCTCCAGCTAGGTAGACAGAGAGGTTCTCTTATACTAACAAATTAATGCAAAAATAGTTGGTGGCATCATAAAACCCAAAAATATAAAATACAAATTTCTGATTTAAAATACATTATTTTACAGAACAGTTATGTATGATGTAGCCCAAATAAACATGTAATTTAATTTCAGTTGGACTTAAGGTGAAGTTCAATAGTGGGGCAGAGTGGGTCATATTTTATACTTCTAGAGCATTACAACACTTATTTTCGGCACTTTTTATTTTTTTTTATTTTTAGAAAGGTTAAAAGAATGTAAAAAGCTTTTTGGGGGCAGTTGGCACTAACCATTGCACGTTTTTGTATCTGTACTTTGCTTTATCTCTGTGTTCTGCTATTATTCTATGCTTTGATTTATTAAGGTTTAAACATGTCTCCCCGTAGAGGGTTGACATATAAATGGTGTGAGTGATTTTCTTCATTCTCGGTTTGAAAAGTGCTATATAGCTATGTACATATTTTTCTATAACATACAGATTGTATGTCACAACCTATTGTGTGTGTGTGCTAAATAGAAATAGCTGCCATGGGTGTTAACGCATTTATACAAAACCTACGTAGTTTGCTGATTATTTATAGCCATCAGTTTGTAAAACTGGTTCAACCTGTTAGTGAGGGACATAATAAAGCATCCAAACAATTCTATCTTTGTCATGTTATGTTCTCAGATTAAAGAATACATGGAATCTTTACCCTTATCCTTAACCGACTTGGAAAATACTCGGAAGAAGCTGGTGAGCTGGGAAAGGATTCATGGCTGCAGTCAGACGGAAGGAGCTACAATTACAAACTTGGTATCTTGCATTTGAGATTATAAAGTAGTTAGCCTTGCTGCTGATAGCATAGTTAATATAGTGTAATGATAAACAGTAGTTGGAGACAATCATTCGTTGCTGAAATGTTAAATTGCACATTATTGTTAGATTATCATTAGGTTTGTAGCTAGCAAGTGTGAATACCTGTTTTTCTGTTCATGGTTGACATTGAACATTAGTAGGTGGATACATATTTAGCCTCTGACTTTTGATGCTGTAATAAAGACTAAGACAGGGCGGTGACATTATAGGATTTGTGCCAAAGTACTTAAACAGTCATTTCTCTACGAACTGTCCTTTCACTTCAGTGTTTGGATGATTCATTGGATGATTAGAACAATTACAAAAAAGGCATACAGGAAATTGCTTCAGTTGGCCCTCAGCACAGCAGAGCTAGCTGCTGCAAACATTCCTGCCGATACGGTAGACGTCCGCGCTGACGACTTACGAGTGTGGATTATATCTTGGCCGGGAGCAGTTACGTCTCGTTAATTAGCGAGCTTTAGAGGTGCACGAGGTGGATTTTTGTTGCCTTTGGACACAGTCCTTATGCTAAGCTAACAGCTCAGTTAAAAAAAAAACGAATAACGTAATTCCTCAATTCCAATTCAACAATATCAAACTGTTCCTTTAAGCATTAAGAGGTAGAACACGGTGTGTTGTCACAATTCACACTCATCACAATAGTAGTTGTAGTGGTGCCACTGAACAGGACTGCTGACCCTGCTTGTTTGTGGTCAGAGCCAATAGAGATGCATTTTTTTTTTAAATCACGTTGCATTGTGGCCTGACTTCGACACCCTTGTCATATGTTTCCACTTTCAGTGTGATTGTATTCCTCGTCATTATTCATTCGTACTGGGTTTGCAGCAGTGGCCAGCACTTGTAGCAAATGCCTTCCATGTGTCTCTAATTGCCTCAGTAGAGGTATTTAACACGAGGTGAAGTCATTAACACATAGACACACTTGTCAGATGTGGAGCCAAGGCAGCCAACAGCAAGCTAAAAGCTAATGCAACATGCACCGTGTCCCATAAAGACATCTGAGGGCTTCCTCGCCAACACGCTGTGCAAGAATTCTCAGAGGAAAAGAACTTGCAAGTTCAACAATTACTGAAATGTAATATAGGAAATATACAGAAGAAAGACTGTAACAAGCTGACCAGTTCAACAGCTGGCGACCGAACACCAGATCAATGGATATGAGGACAAATATTACTATGTCAAGAGTACATTTTAGTTTTTGTTACCATGGACATAATAAAACATCACTTTGGGGTCTTTTCCACTTAAAAACCAAACGTTATCCAAGACACCATGGGGTCTGAACATATCAATTCAAATGAAAACCACAGAACTTTACATGTAGAGAGAATGACAGTAATTTAATTTTAAAACCACGAGATGGCTGCACTCAAACATCACATGGCATATTAATACTGTGTACTGCAATATGATCTTATGATCCAGCATGTTGTGTCTTAGTCTGTAGTGCCATCTGCTGTTTAATTGAGAGCACTGCATCGACCCAGCGTCAAGTGAAAATTAAGTTAGTGATCAACAGTTTATAAGTGGCAAAAGGAAGAAGCGGAAGACTTTCACACCTTAGGCTTGAGTCTACTGAAGCACTGGCAAACTAACGCTGAGATTATGGTGTGGATGTTAGTGTGGGTGTGATCAGCGTGGAAGACGGAGAGGAAAATGTATATTTCATGGAGGACATTTGGCATGTCACGATAGGAAAAGCCCTGGGTGTAATATTATAATCAATGATGGCTGACTGGCATGGCAAGTGGATTTAAAGTTCAAGAATGAACTTTTGTGAAGCGATTGGCTAAATATGATAAATAAGATAAGGTAGTGAAATAAGTGCAAGAGTTTACAGTAAGACTCCCTGCCCTTTGACTTAATAAGAGGAGGTGGGAAGGCTAATGGCATTAAGCTTAGTTCTGTTGCTTCTAACTGGGAATGCTATCACACCAGACCATGTATAGCCTACTGTATAGTAGGTTAATCTCCACAAGGCCTATATCTTAATACCTTCATTTTCTAAATAGCCTAGTGGCAGTCTCTTTGCTAGTCCAAAAACGAGCAAAGAGTTGGATCCTCAGTGGAGCTGAGGTGGGTCAAGGTGACACAGCAGACGGAATAGCTAGCGGCTATAGCGCCCTGAGACGGCACCCTCAGGGCAGACACTCCCTTAATCATGATTAACGTTTAAAAGTTGTCATGAACGTGATTATTGGCTATAGAGACCACAACTGTTTTTTTTGCACCAGGCTGTAAACATGTTTATTTCTGCTCTAAACATCAGCATTTCAACGTGCGATTTCTATGGGGACTGACTCACTTTTGGAGTCGGCATCAAGTGGCCATTTGAGGAATTGCACATTTTGGGCTCTTCTGCGTTGGCTTCATTTTTCAGCCCCCGAGTTTGCTGCTTTAGCTAGAAAATAGAGAGCATCTTGGGATCACACCAGCCATGAAGCCAAATTGGGCCAGGGGCGTAAAGTGTCTTCGAACTCACCCTTCATTTTGTACCTCAAGTGCACACCTTTAAAAGTTCCATGACTGCATTTTGCATGGATGTGACGCTACCCCCAGTGACAAAATCCGTCGACAAGGAGACTGACATGGCAAAGCACTCCAAACTGCTCCTGTGGAAGTAACCGCGACAGTAGGTGTCTCCAGGACCACATTTTGACATGATGGCACACACACAAGGTGAAAACAATACCAGCCACACGCTTGCGACTGGGGAAGAGTAAGACGAGAGATGGATATACCACTCTTCTTATATCGAGTGGTATCAACCTTCTCATACAAGAAAGTGGAAAAAAAAGCATATTTCCCAAAATAGTAAACTGTTAATTTGAAAATAACATTCTACTCTATCTTTCTCTCAACATCTTAATCAAGAACTCCTCTCTATACCTCTCAGCGCTGCAAATTCAGCCACAACCACGGTGCACCGTCGTCCATCCTTGGCTGTTAGGTGAAGCTCTGCAAGAATACGTCAGAGGGCTTCCCTTTAAGTCTATCTGCTATCAGCACATGGTCAGGGTAAACATTTGAGGACACCCCACACCCACCAGCTGTCTCATATACGTTCACGTACCACACGTCACACACAAAGAATACACGTGTACAGAGGAGCACAGTCACATGCATCACAGGAAGACATGCTGTGCTCCTCTTCACTTTAAGTAATGCCTTCCTCAGCATCTCATTTCCTTAGTTTAGGAGGTACCCCGCCCCCAAAGACACTGCTTTTCCTCCTGATAACCTAGAGTTTGTCATTAGCATTCGAGTAATCACATAGAATACATTTCCCCCCTTGATAACAAAGATGAAAATGTTACTTATAAATAACGGAATGCAGGGGGAAAAAATGCATTTTTTTTGTTTTTGTAAAATCCAATCATTTGATCCTGGTATCTTGCTGTTTACAGTGTTTACCGCTATAATCTGTCCTGTGTCTTATCTGACAGAGTGGCTGCTTAGTGATACAAGAGAAATCAGAAAAGGGCCAATTCACTATGGGGCCCTAAACGTGAGTAATAGGCCCTAAATGAGGGGATCATCATTCCTGTGTAATCGCCATGAATTTGATCAACAATGGGAGGGGGGGGGGGGGGGGGGGGGGGGAGGGGTTGATTGGGGGGGGTAGTGTGT